TACTGACCCAATACAGGCCTCATTTGTGTCCCTTAGTTTGCCTGTTTTGTTTTTAATGCAGACCCTCATACTGACCCAATACAGGCCTCATTTGTGTCCCTTAGTTTGCCTGTTTTGTTTTTAATGCAGACCCTCATACTGACCCAATACAGGCCTCATTTGTGTCCCTTAGTTTGCCTGTTTTGTTTTTAATGCAGACCCCGCACCATCTGAACTCTGTATCCAGGAGAGTATAAACACAGATACCTCTGTAATAACTTTTCAAGAACCATATGGAATATAAATCCCTTGGTGCCAGTGTTTTGGCTGCAGCAGGGAATCGGAGGTGTAGCCGTCCATGCCATTTAGTCCAAGTGATGGAACGGAATTCCCTCTAGACTTGTAAACTGTCAATTGAGAATGTATTTAAATCAAACTTAACCAGGAAGACATTTTTAGATCACATGTTGCAAGGAGTGTTGTAACTAGAGAAACCTAAGTCACCTTTTTTTGTGATTTGGATACTTACCACATAGGTGTTAAGATTCTAATGCCGACTTCAATAGGGCTAAAATCACAACTCACTGTTTGGAAGTGTATTATAGTCTTGATGTAAATGTTTTCTTTGACACATGAAGTGGTCATCAGTTGCTTTCCCTTTGTGGCATCGTGTTCATGATTCAACGCTGACAGAGTAGCCGCTATGGGACCTTGTCTATTCAGGATTTTCTGTGCTTGAATCGTTTCCTCCGTTTGCTCGAATCTATAGAGATTTAATGTCTCCCCTCATGTCAGTCTAGTAACGGGGATAATTCTTGTTCCTCTTTTCTGTGTATTCCGTTAAATGGTAACATAATTTGACATTGGGTACCCAGAGCTGTGAACCGTGTTCTAGGGTAGGTATTGCTAATGCTTTGTACCTTTATGGTATCTGTAGTTTGCATTCTTATTGTCTGAATGAATTGCAGTGGACATACACTTATTGAATGTTGTTTACAAAAGGTGTCCTTTATGCAATTGTTTATAATGCACATTGTTGTTGGTGGTTGTTTTGTGTGCATGTTCCCCATCTGCCACCCATTTGCCTCTGAGAAGCTGAATTAGCTGGAGCCTGTTTATGGAGACGGGAAAGGGGAGTGGCCCCAGCACTGCAACCTGAGGCACTTCACTGCTCATTTCGGCCCGACTGGAGCCTATTTATGGAGATGGATAAGTGGAGTGGCCCCAACACTGCGATCTGAGGCACTTCACTGCTCATTTTGGCCCAACTGGCGCCTGTTGTTTATGGAGATGGGAAAGGGGAGTGGCCCCAGCACTGCAATCTGAGGCACTTCACTGCTCATTTCGGCCTGACTGGAGCCTGTTTATAGTGATGGGAAAGGGGAGTGGCCCCAGCACTGCAATCTGAGGCACTTCACTGCTCATTTCAGCCAACTTGAGCCTTTTCAGTGTCTGCTGAGAAGGAAGGAGCTGCGTAAGATGCATCCACGTGCTTAATAAAATAAACGTGCGCCCTCTAGCTTGATGGTTTTAATGGCTACTTGGCAAAAGCGCTCCTCGAGAATTTTTATAGGTGTTATTGCCGTACACATCGGCGGAAAAATGGTGTGACTAAATGTGGCACCTCATACTTAAGGGCTTATAAAGCTCATACTACTGTATGTTTTTAGGTATGAGGGATTTTTGTTTTCATAGCATGTTTATGGCTGTCCTTTCACGCTCTTGTGGTTGTTTTCATGCTTGGTAGAACATTTGAGGTCAAATTTATCAAACTAAACACTTAGGTTCTTGTCTTTTGATATTATTAAAATCTCCACAGTGGTTAGCATATATTTGTTTTTATAGTATATGAATATGACTATTTGAATATGTTAGCTTGTATCCATACTTACTCTGTAACATTTTATGATACACCAGCTGGCTTATGCTGAGTATTTTTACATCCCAAAAGAAAACTATAAAACATTTGGTTGATCAGAAAGAGCTATTTATGTGTTCAGGTGAGATGATGAAATCTTCTCAAGTGATGTCTTCGTTTTTTTATTATTATAATAAACATATGTTTCCTGTTAGACGGTATGTGTTTGAATTGAAACCAGAGTAAGGAGTGGTGTGTTCTACTCCTGATTTGCATTTTGTAACATCTGCAGCGTGATATACCACAAAGTTCAGCTTTTATTCTTGAGTGGTGGCAGCTGAAGCACAGATGGGACTTGTACGAGTGTAACAGTATTATTATGTATTTAACTCCTTTTGTGCGATTGATTAACGGTTAAGGCAAATACAATTAGTTCAATGCTGAAGGCTATTGATCTGATTATAGATGGTCTGTGAGATAATGACAGTAACCATTAATGGGAACCTTATCTCACGGCCCTGCTTTCCTGTTGGCAGCTTCAGTGAAATCTTAGGGGTAGCTGGGATTCGCTTTCGCAGTGTTCTTAAGGCTGTACTGAGACTGGGAGATCCGTACCACGCCCAGGCACGCTTTAAGAGGTGGGCCTGGGGCAGCTTCAGTTGGACTCGGACTCGGACACGTATGACTAGTGTGATTGCTAACAGCAGCCAGATACGGAATACAGACATAATGTCAATGATGCGACTGGCGCATGCATGCAGACATGTACATGAACTGGACCCAGAAGGAATGGACTGAGTAGGCTGCACAGATTAGGAAGCAACAGATATTTAAGAAACCCTGCAGCAAAGGGATCAGTTTGGTCTATAGAAGAGGTGCAGTATTTGCTGGAAATTTCAGCTGACGAGTATCCAGGAACTACTGAATGCAACCCACAAAAACTCTGAGGTATTTGGTAACATATGGCACTATTTCATATGTGCAGCATAATTAAATGAAAATTGCTGCATCGCATACTCAGATCTACAAAATAGACGTTAATCAAGAACTCCTCTGTGCTGTGTGGTAGTGCTTTTCTTCCTGTGTTTTCTTCAACAAAAAGTCGCACGGTGATGATGAAAGCGAATGCAGGCCCGGATTGTTGAGTGCAATGTGAGCGCAGGCTAGCGGGGGAGCAGTCGTGCTCAGGTACGGCACACAGCAACTGGGCCGAGTGTGAGTATGGCCTAAGAAAGTGGGAGGAGCTCTGGGCGCCTCATTTTGCTGGCAGAGGTTGCAGTGTAGAAAGTGACTTTCCTTAGTTCTGGAACATTCTGCTGTGCTGTTACCGTGGGGCACCATCTGTTTGGTCATTGGTTGGGGTCCACAGAGCCGGAATACCTGTGCGGTGCTGAGACCGAGTGCTTGCAGGGCTGTTTAGAAATGCATGCAAATCTTTTACAAACACTGCTTAAAATTCTCATCCAGTTTCAATTCCTTCACCTGTTTCAGGGCCTAAATGCCTTAACTCTGTCTTGTTGCATTAGTGGCCTTAGAATGTGACATTAGTGTGTGAGTGACAAGGTTTTCACAGTGAAAAATATCAGGTCATGCAATATTATCTTTTCCAAATGAAAACCTTCATAAAATAACTTAAAATGTTACGATACATCAGACGCTGTTAGTTCCTATTTGTTTTTTGCATTTATGATTAGTACTCATTAATTGCAGCTGTACCATCTGCCTTTTCACGCTCATTTCAAATTAAACAGACAACTGCTTGGACACCTGCACAAGCTTTTGTCCTTTGTATTAAATTTGTACATAGTTTCAATAATAAAGTTTTATGATGTTACATTATTTTTATGATTTTAGCATGGTATATGCAGTGAAACAACTGAATACATTTGACACGGATGAAACCTAAATTCACACACAGATTTTGGACAAGGAAAGATGTTAACTGTGGCTGTGAGTTTGGTATGGCTCATACTGCTTACCGTCAGTCATCATCTTTGGTTTGGGAACATTTTGGTTTTCCAATATATTACACACACCAGAGCGAGTGTAGTTGAAAAGACCTAAGCTGCGTTTAATCTAGAGATGCACCGATCCAGTATTCGGTATCGGCGCCGATCCAGACCTATTTGACGGATCGCGTATCAGCCATGCGTGACCGATCCACGTCCTATACTTACTTATTTAGTTTTTGGCAATCTCTAAAAAGATAGCTCCTATTTCGTGTTAAATCTATTTCTACAATCAATCACACGACAGCTCTTTCCCATTTTACATGGGTTTTTTTTGCGGCATTCAAATCGAACGCTAACGCTGCCCCTCAGTCTTTTTTGCTACTCAGTGGGTGTGAGTACAGTGACTTCCGCCTGCTGTGATGTCATGCGCATACCCTTCGCAGTACGAGGAGCGTAAGATAAGACGTGACTTTCTGGGAGTATTTTACACTCTTAACAGAAACCAGTAGCACAGCGATTTACAATCTTTGTAAAATAAAGTTTTGAGAGGTGGGAATAGCGTTTAATGGACAATCCCACTTAACAAAGCGCACGCAACTGTGCGAGACAAAAAAAGCAATGGATGATTTGGGAGTCACTAACCTGGACTGTCTTGCGAACTCGCTGCAGCTTGTGATACAAGAGGGGCTGCCATCGCAACAAAGTGTAACTGAGCTGATGCCAATGGGAGAAAAATAGTGTTAAAATTTTAAGCATTCGCCACTTGTGTATACCTGCTTTGAAGATATTCATATTGGACTGCAAATGCCTCAGAAACGCTTAAAACAAGACGTACAAACGAGGTGGAACAGTATGCTATATATGTTTGTAGTGGCCTAATTATTTTATTATCTTAGGCATGCTATGTATTTATCTAAGTTTTTTTTATTTATTTTTTATTTAAATGACAGACTTGGGCACAAAAATCTGCGCGTCATGTCATTCACTTTGGTGTACAAGTCATCTTGGGAGACGGCTGATGCTATGGAGTGGCAGAGTGACTATCTCTTATGATGGACACAAGCAGGATCTCTGCCTCTATTCTCATAAATGCATTGTGGGTAATTTAACACATGGTAATTATACAGGTATGTGGGGAAAATAATGATTGCCAAAACATAGAGATGATTTCAGCAGGAAGTACGGAGTGTCTGTGCTATTTTGTCCTGAGGGATGATATTTTGTTTCTGTTTGCACCGTCAAAGCTCAGGCAAAGGCGAGAAGGTATGTTATCTTTAGGCTGTATGAATTCAAAAATGCACACATTTGATGTTGGTGACATTTAATGTCAATTATAAGCTATGCAGCTATTTTTAGTTGTCTTTCCTCTTTGTTGCCTTTGGATTCCTTAAGCTGTATTAGAAGCTCCTTCCTCGGTAGGGCGTGGTTGATTAGATGGACAATCAGAGGATGTTCTGGCAGGGATGAGGTGGGGTTCATTTGGTTGCTAGTGCCCCCCCCCCCCCCCCCACAGCACACATACACATGCAGTGGCCCCAGGGCGCCCTGAAACTCCAGGAAATGAAGAGGGAAAATAGCACAAAATGCCTGCT